GCCATTACCAGCGGAATCCCCTGAGCTGGTCACTGCCGTCTTCCTGGATGGGGACCCCGAGACGGGCCACATCAATGGTTAGAGACATTGTCAGATATGACCCAGTCGCGCCCTCAATGGCGCTCGTGTATCCAAGCTATTGTCTTCAATGCATAGCTCCTTTTCCACCCCCCACCCACTTGACAGCCCACTGACTGCTGGATTTATGCACAAATTTATCAGCTCCCGCCTACAATGCGCAGCTACCTACCCCTTTTCCCCCCCAAATCATCGGTGAACAAAACTACGACAGCTACAACTACTGTACGACGAGTAAGCGGTTATTACAGTTGACAATGATGATGAACCATGGCATCATGATAGGGCTCAGTATCTTGGCGGCAGAGGATAGCGGAGGGAGCAAGCTAATCGCTGCGAGTATGGGTTTACCCATGAATGTAATCGAATGAGTTACTTTCACCAGTTATCTAAATTCTTTTCTGAAAGCTTCGTTCGTTAAGCTATAGCACTCTTTCGGGCCTAAGTGCCATCCCACCAGAAGGAACCACGAAGGCTAGGATACTGCCCGGTTGCCCAAGCCTAGACAGGGGGAGCCGAGAGGCGGAGGTCAGGTTCGAACGACGGACCTTCCGCTCTTATCCACTGATCCATCCCGCCCCTCTGAAAACTTCAAGGCATGGGACTCCGTCTCAAAGGTAGTGTGGCCACTCCACCTGTTCAAAAGTGCTTCCGGGGTAACAGTCCACTCAAATGGACTGATGCAGTTACGGGAAAACTTGACGCTACATTTTGTGGTGGCCACCAGCTAACACCTACTGTCAACTTCGAATTATCACCCGCGCCTACCATTGACCACTAGTTGTGGCCTTCTGCTGAGTCCGACCTCTGAGAAAGGATGTGAATCGTGGAGACGATCAAAAACATTACCAAGCTTTAAGTAGAAACATCGGCATCATAAACCATCATCTCACATCAGACTGAAAATAAGGGTAATCTCTTTTGAATTCATGCCGTGCGACCGACTACGTAAAACGTTTCTGTGAGTGCTGTGCGCTTGCCCATCCGGTACCTCTCCTGTAATGATGACCTTCGGCAAAAGAAGTGAAAATTGAATGGACACCTTGTAAACTCTGCGCATCGTGGTGGGACGACCTGAAATTTACTGAGGATATCCTCTATGCTCACACTTTGTAATAACAAGTCGGGAATCGAAGAGGCATGAAGAACGCGGTTCATCCGATATGAACATCGGAACTAATGGGACAGCTTTTTCCTCAAAAGGAGCTATGGTAGTCTTACACCAAACACCACCACCATTGCCTGATAGTTAGATGGCCAAGGACTTCGACTGAAGACCACAACCCCTTTCCTGTCCATTTATTGGCGGCTTGACAATAACTCAGCCCAAATGCAGATGGGATAAGAAACGCTCAGCAGTAAAATTCTTTCGGTGAATAGCTGCCATGCCACCCGGAGAAAGCACGAGAACTGAGATACTGCCAGATTACCCAAGTCTAGACAGAAGTCGAGTTCGAACCACGGACCTTCCGGTCAGTGGACTCGTACTCTAACCACTGAGCCATCTCGCAAGTAGGGTACATTACGCCAAATCCACCAGCCACACACACTGCCGGCTTCCTAGGACTTAAAGGAGTGTGACGCCTCAGAAAATATGAACGCTTACGTACGGTCTGACAAAGGATGATGCCCATGAGGTCTGCAAAATCTATGCATTCTCTCAGGACACTACCAATCATGTAAGATTTGCTAGGGCCCGTCCGTTCCTTTCATTCAAGTCATTTATAAACTCAACGAATACACAATCCAAAGGGCGGAAGTTTTGAGAGTCGACACTACACATAGGGAAGGACCATTTGACCAGGAGCCTGTAAGTGGCCATACTGACATTTGATGCCCAGCAGTTTGCACAATTCACTCGAAGTAGAATTCCAGAAGCGATTTGGTCAAAAGCGCATTCCGCGAAACTTTACGGGAGACCTAGAACACCCACATATGTTGCGCCACAGGATTTTTCTGGCAGTTCCATGTACGTAACGAAGTGCGCAAGCGAGGAAACAAGATGGCAGCAAACACCACCTCAGGCTATTCATCAAATACGAAGACATACAGTAAACAAAATGTTCGACCAGAAGAGGTCATCATCAAAGCGAAATGAAAGCAACTACAGCCAAACCGAGTGACTTTCGCATTTTGCTGGCGGGGACCTACACCATCGCGTGTTTACAAACTCCATACGACGTGGCAAGGAGTGTTGAACGCACTGTTATTTCCAAACTTAACTGCTTGCCGACAGCGCTAGAAGTGCATCGTATGACGTCAGCAAAGGATACCGGGAGCACCTGGACTCCTTGCCAAATAATGTGTAGTCTGTTGCTGTTTGCAGCCGTAAGCACTTTGTTGTCAGGGCACAAAGTTCGGTCCATCGTTAACACTCTTAAACAGGCCAGTCTTTCCCCAGGGTCGTATCGCAGCTACGGATTAGTGGCTAAGATGAAGCTAGCTGCCAACGCACTGATACCCATCGCCATAAGTGCGTCAAACTAGGCCAGCCGAATAGTCAGAAACAGGGTCTGCCTAGGATGAGTGCTTGGGCAGACTAGGATCACCTTCACATCCTTCTCGGATTCCGACCAGACTACCTCATATAAGTTACAACTCACGACCTACGTTCACAGTACACCTCACCAAACCTAGGAATCCTAGGCGTGCTCGCATGCCTCACTGGAACGTCTGATGCACAGAGGCGAACACATAATACGAATGTGTACCGGTCACAGAGAAGCTGAGCAACGCCCAGTGTCGGTTATTCGTCAGACACAAATAATAAACGCCAGGATGATAAAACTGTGGATAGCAGTACCCATTGGGTGGCACACTGTGAGACTGAAGGTTCTCAAAAGCCAAATTGATAGTAATAGTCATTTCTACCGTTCGCATTACGTAAAACGGATTGTAGTGATCACAAATCAACCTAAGGCCCACCTTTTCGAAACTAAACAGCTGCGTACCTCCTCCAAATTCAGCAAATCTGATGAGGTGGCCCGGCGTAGAGCCTCAGATTGCATCCATCCGTGATAACGAGGGACGTGAAAACCACAGTACGGGACAAGGAACAGCCGACTGGTTTCCAACACGACAGAGCAATTTATTCGCATGTCTAGTAAAGAATATGAGACTGAGGTTAACCCGAGCTCCAAGTACAACCGGAGTAAAATAAAACAAGGAGTAATTCCGTAGATGTATTAAGAAACACATTCATTCAGCCTTCGTTGTTCGTGTGTAAATTTGCTGGGAGTTGTGGCGCGCTACCAGCTTGATGGAGCCTGGAAGTGTACACATTAAGGCAACAGCAAAACAAACCTCTCCGATGGAGCTCCTCCAAAGCGTGACGAGC